CCAATAGCCACTTGGCGAAACCCTATTGGGCTATACAACAGAAATCGACAGCGCCACGTGGGACGAAGCCAGACATCCCGTTCGCAGTGCATAACGACTCATACCCCTTTGGCACGTGGCCAGAGCTACCCTACTAGTACGTGGCAGCTGGCAGATGCGATAAGAGAATCCAGTGTCTAACCCACCCCCACGCGCACCCTTCCCATCCCTAACTGTCCCCCACACCCTTCCGATCTGCTGAACAGACCATTCAAACAGCCCCTTCGCACTCCCCTCAGATCGTCAACAGTGACTCAACACAGTCGCAAGGAGGCAAGGACAGTCGGGGAGAGAAGAAGGGGTAGACAAGAAAGGAGACCCCTACCACACTTACCAAACCGCCGTTATTGATGTTGTTTATGTCGTTGCCGTTGTCGCTGTTAGTGTCGTTGTTGCTGTCACTGTTGTCACTGTCACAATCCGGCGTGCACGAGCTGACCATCTCCTCGCTTGCAGCAGTGTCATGCTCTACAGTCACAGTGTTGCCGGTGCACACGATCCTTGCGTCGTGATTGCTGTTATTGTTGTTGTTGTTGTTGTTGTTGTTGTTGTTGTTGTTGTTTACGTCGTTGTCGGACAAGCCCAGGCTCACGATCCGTGTGTCTGTACCCCGGACCTGCACGAACGTGTTGTTATTGTTTGCATCATTATCAGCAGTGTGGGTATTATTGACACCAGTTTGACCCTCCTCCAGCTCGTCACTGCCAGTGGTGCACGCGTTGGTATAATTGTCCTCCTCCGTCTCGAACAAGTGCAGGTACCACTCCTCCTCCAGCGCTGCGTACACATCTTGCCCCTCCTCGAAGATGTCATCGCAACACCACTTCAGAGACTCCTGTTGATCATCTGTTTGCAAAGACGGCCCCTCCTGCAACTCCCAGACAATCTGCAACATGTTCCCCATCACTTCCGGATACGGCGGACGCGATGAAGCTGCCCCCCCAACAGCCTCAAATCGACCTCTCAGTTGTGATCGCAGTGCCTCCACCATCACTAGTAAACGAGAACGAGCTGCTTGAAGGAATATGAGCCACTCAGTAGCCCCTCGCTGCTTGTTCCCCAACGAAGCCATCGGTATGCACGAACCGCGGTAGAATTCACGCCGACAATCTCCCATGCTCCCTACCAATCCCACCGGATGGGACTGCCACGTCAGCGTCACCGCTAACCTGAGGCAGGACGCGCAGCTCAAGCTCCTCGCGTTGACCCACGTGGGCGCCCGATCGCGTGGAAGGCAGCCGGGCCGTGCCGGCTGCGACCACGCAGAGTGTTAGCGCTCCTCAGCGCTCCAGCATGGCTATTGGGCTTCTGGCTGGCTCAACTTTGGGTGGTAGGACAGTACTTCGGGGCGGGGTACCTTTCTCAGCTATCATGCCAAGCCTAAAACTGCCCTGCGCGCCACAAAAAAACAAATCGGCGCGGGCCTTGTTTTGGCTGGCGCCACCAGCCATTTCGTGCCGGTAGTCCCTAGCCTGCCCGCCTCCCGTGTTAAACCACCAGTACTTGGCCCAGCTATCGGCCGTGGAAAAAAACAGAGTAGAAACGTTTCTAGTTGGATGAATTCGGGCGCTCCTGTAGTGGCCTGTACATTTCCTAAAAGTGTGGCTTGTTAACCGGCACAACTTTATTTTTTTTATTTTATTTTATTTTATTTTTAAATAAAACAGAGGATAGCTTTCCTCCTAACCAGCACAACTTTAGGAAGTACTGGTGGTCCAAGTTTGTATTATGCATAATGGACAATAGAGGGCCTATCACACAGAAATCACAGTTTATACACTTACACCTTTAGTACACATTTGCACTGGCAGACAGCATGCCTGCACAAGGCTGTAATATACACAATGGACAGTAGAAACAGCTCACTGCACACAAACTTACATTTGCACAGCATGCCTGCTCAAGGCTGTGAGATAAACAGATAGAACTCAGGGATTACCATAGCCCAGTCTGTACAAAGCGGATCAAACATACACACAACCATGCCTACTTCTCACTATATGTCTAGGGACGCTGGACCCGTTTTCCAGCAGGTGATGCACCCCACCAATAGATGGAGCGCCCCCCCAGAAGTGCTAATAGTGGCTGCTCCTACGAGCACCTCGTTTCTCACGAAAAAAAAGGAAGTACTGGTGATTTAACCGGTGGGCATTTGTTTTTCAAGCAGGGAAAGGTACTGGTGGTTTAAAACACCAGTTCACATCAGCGTAAGTCGAAGAAGCTACCGTCCGAGGCTTGCGAGCCTGCAGATACGCATTTTGGAAGTGGCCTGCCAAGTTCACTACCGGCCCAGGCCAGAATCAAAAGGCTCTTAGGCTCTTACCCCGTATACCTGTAAGAGCCCTACTTTGGTTTCGCTGAACTGGTGGTTTAAAGTTTAAACCACCGATACTTCCGAGCCACTTCTGCCCGGGGCTCCAAACGCCCTGCACGCCCAAAGAAAAAGAACTGGTGCGGGCCTCATTTTGGCTGGTGCTGCCAGCCATTTTGCCCCGGCTGCTGACCCCGAAAGTTGGCGCCACACGAAAGGAGACCCAGAGAAAAAGGGCTGGGAAATGGACTGGTGGTGGGGACGGCCTTGAGATATCACCATTGAACTGGCTGGGCCCACTTAGTAGGGTCATTGCACCTGGTTTCAGACTTGTGACTGTATTTCAACAGTTCACGAGTGTACCAACTGGTTGAAGCTCAATGGTATGCATTTTGAGCCATGATCTAACCTTTCTGATGGCCCTCAGGGAGGCATGCGACTGGATCCATACTCTGGTAGGCAATCTACCGTGGCTGTGCTGGTGACTGAGAGAGAGGGGCATCGGCTCTCAGGTGCCCCCCGAAGCAATCAAGACCATCCATTTCTCATATCACATATTTCAGTACCTGTCCAATCTGGACATTACAGCTTTTCATGCCAGTTTGATTATCAAGAACAGAAAAAGAAGCATAAAACCACAGAAACCTCCCCGAGAACAACCTTTCAGCTAACAAAATGTGCTTTCCTTTTTTTTTTTTTTCAATCATCGATTCAGGCCATCCCTTCTGCTTCCAAGGTGGTAAGAGCCCCCCGGAAGTAGGTGGCGGTTCAGGTCCGATGGCTCCATTCTATTCGTGGATAGCTGCACCTGCTGGAAAACGGGTCCAGCATCCCATACAATCATACTAGGTAGTTATTGATACATCCCAATTGTCACCATCTATCTGCCATCAGCAGGTTTCCGGGCCTTTTCACCCTAAGGTGCCACATACTCTTGTCCAAGGCCTCTATCCCAGTGGTGGTAAGAGAACCACCGGAATTGAGGCTTTGCCCGGTGAAAGGTGCCAAATACTCATGACAAGCTAGCCTCCCCCCTGTTGTGGTGGGATGCATAATTCTATCAGTACTTCACGAACGTTTCGTGAGGAACTCAGCAAAACGCCTACTACGGTACTACCTTCTATTTCCAGACCAAAGAACATGATTTTTCCTGGCTAACACTCCGCACGGTCGCAGCCGGCAGGGCCCGGCTGCCCTGGGTCTCAGCAGGGATAGATGAAGCGGCGCAGCGCGATCGGGAGCGCCGCGCCGCTCCGCTATCGACATGAGCCGGCTTGTGAGTTGGTGGCTCCCGGTGAGGAATATCAAGGAGGTGATGTGGGTGATGGCGCAAGGTTCCGTTGGTATTGTCTGGCGGGGCCATTGACGTGATGCTTCGGCTGAAGGTTCTTCCAGCCTTGATAAGCTAGGCTGAAGAGGTCTCTTGCTCTTTGCTTCGTTTATGTGGTGTCACGGCTTGACACGCTGAAGGAAGGGGAGGCTGTCGGGGTGATTAGGATAGCCTTCATGAGATCTTGCGCATGGTAGTGGCCCTGCTCGTATGCTCCTGCACGATTCTAGTGGAGGTCGGTTGGGCAGTGCGGGCAGAAAGTGAGGAGCATCTTCTCATGCAGAGTGGGAGGTTACAAGCTGGAGCGTCAAAAAGAGCTGGCGGTTTCATGCGTTCTTTTGAGCTGGTTCAACGGTTAAAGACACGGAAGCAGGTAGCGGCGCAATTCGTCATCATCAGGGTGCTGCTCGTCATCACCATCATCATCATCATAAACAGGGTGTGGTTCAGCATCAGCATCACGGTAATGGTTCGTCATCACCATCATCATCATTAGGGTACTTCTCGTTATCATCGTCAAGTTGTAGGTCTTCACTCCAGGGGTGCTGTTCGTTACTCGTCGTTGTACTACCATCATCAATAGTTCACCATCATAGAGCGCGGTTGGGGAAGTTCATCATCATAGGGCGCTGCTTATCTTTATCATCATCATCATCATCATCATCATCATCATCATCAGGTTATTATCAAAGGTGCTCGTCATCAGCACCATCATCATCCTGTTGTCATCACAGGGTGCTGTGGGTCATCATCATCATCATCATCATCATCATCATTAGGTTATCACCAAAGGCTTCGAATCCCCCTCGGCGGCGGCCATCCGCGGCCAAGTCCGCGGACGCGGTCAGGTCCGCGACCCCACGGACGTGTCCGCACGGCCGCACGGCTTTGAAGCCACGTGGCGGCCAGTGGGGAGGGGGGTTGGGGATTCGGGAAGCGCCATGGGGCGGCGCAACCCCAGCCCCGCCCCCTCGAACAAAAAAAATAAAAAACAATAAATTTTTGGTTCGGGGGGTTCGGCTGTGAGTGCAAATAATCAAAAAAAAAAAAAAAAAACACATTTTTTTGTTTTTCGTTGATTGATTGATTGATTGATGGATTGATTGGGGCGGGGTCGCCCCACCCCGCCTTCGATTGATTGATTCGTTCATTCATTCATT